CCCAACCTCCCCTTGTCTCGCGGAGAACCCAGGGGTCCGAGCCCTGCCCTGCCCCCCCCAAGAAGGACCCGAGCATCCCCCCAAGAGCCCCCCAGCCCTGCCCTTCCGCAGAGCCCAGGCGTCTGGCCCCCCGCCTGCAGCCTGTGGTTGAAGCTGGTTCCTCCTTCCCTGTTCCTCCTTCCAAAGCTCCCCGCGACCCAGGAAAGGCCACGACCCCGGCGGGGACCAGCCGCGGAAGGAAGGTCTCGCCCCAAAGGACGGTCAACCCACTAAAAGGTCAAATAATGCCATGGCTTGAGTCCAGCACCTGAATCCGGAGCTGGGGCCGGGCTGGGATCATGGAGAGGGAGCTGGGATTATGGAATTGGAGCTGGGATCACACTGGGATTATGAGGAAGGAGCTGGGAACCCCCTGGGATTGTGGAGGAAGAGATGGGGTCAGGCTGGGGCTATGAAGAAGGATCTGAGGCGAGGCTGGGATTATAGGGAAAGTGATGGGATCAGGCCAGGATTATGGGGGAGGGGAGGAGTTGAGACAAAACTGGGATTATGGAGCAGGAGTTGAGAGAAAAATGGATTTATATAAAAAGACCTGGAATGAGGCTGAGATTATGGGGCAGGAGCTGAGATCACACTGGGATTATGGAGAAGGAGATAGGATCAGGCTGGGGATATGGAGGAGGAGCTGAGATGAGGCTGGTTTTACGGAGAAAGGGATGGGATCAGGCTGGGATTATGGGGAAGGAGTTGGGACAGGACTGGGATTATGAATTAGGAGCCAAAAGGAGGCTAGGATTATAGGGAAGGACCTGGGATGAGGCTGGTATTATGGGACAGAATCTGGGATCACACTGGTATAATGGAGGAGTTGGGGTCCGGACAGGATTATATTCACAGCCACAACTCAGCTCCTTCCCCATAATCCCTGCCTGATCCATGATACAACCCCATAATCCTCAACCTCCTCTCAGCTCCTTCTTTATAATTCCAGTCTAATTCCAGTACCAACCCCACCATCCCAGCCTAATTTTAGCTCTCTCTCCAGAATCCCAGCCTGACCCCAGCTCTGGATTCAGGTGCTGGATTTGAGCCATGGGATTATCTGACATTTAACCCCCGACCCCCGCGGCCAGTCCCCGTTGTGGTCTCAGCCTTTCTTGAGCCAAGAGGAATTTCGGAACAAGGAACCGGAAACAAGGAGCCAGCGTCAACCGCAGGCTGCGGGGAAACGGGGGCCGGACGCCTGGGCTCTTTGGGAGGGGCAGGGGGTACCTGGGGAGAGACGGGGGCCTGGACGCCTGGGTCCTCTGTGGGGGGTTGAGACCCAGACACCTGGGCGCTCTGGGGATGGGGGCCCGGCCCCCTGGGCTCCTTAGGAGACGAGAGGGGAGCTGGGGCTCCAACACCTGGGTTCTGGACACCTGGGGTCTGTGGGGCTGGGGGTCCAGATCCCTGGGTCCTCTGGGGGTGGAAAAGGGTCTGGAATGAGGCTGGGATTATAGGATTATGGAAGAGGAACTGTGACGAGGCTGGGATTATAGGGAAGGAGCTGGGATCAGGCCGGGACTACTAAAAAGAATCTGGGAATCACTCTGGGATTATGGACAAAGAGCCGGGAACACACTGGGATTATGGGGAAGGAGTTGAAAAAATGCTGGGATTAGGAGAAGGAGCTGGGTTTATGATAGGATTATTATCCCACCAACATCTCATCTCCTGCCCCATAATCCCAGCCTCATCCCAGGTCTGTCTGTATATTCCCAGCCTTCTTGCAACTCCTGCTCCATTATCCCAGTGTTGTCTCGGCTCCTTCCCCATAATCCTGTTCTGATCCCATAACTTTCTCCAAAATCCCATTTTGATCCCAGCCCCTTCTCTATAATCCCAGCCTTGTCTAGATCCTTCTTCATAGCCCCAATCTGACCCCATCTCTTCTTCCATAATCCCAGCAGGATCCCATCTCCCCTCCCATAATCCCAGCCTCATCCCAACTGCATCTCAATAGTCCCATTCCACTCTCAGTTACTTCCTCATAATCCCAGTGTGATCTCAACTCCAACCCCATCCCCATAATCCCATTTTAATCCTGGCTCCCTCTCTATGACCCCAGCCAGATTCAGGCACTGGATTTGAGCCATGGGATTATTTGTTATTCTAGTGAGTTGGCTGCTCTTTGGGGCGAGACCTTCCCTCTGTGGCCGGTCCCCGTCATGGTCGTGGCCTTTCCTGGGTCACGGGGAGCTTCGGAACAGACCAGCCTGGAGCTTTCTGCCAGACCAACCTGGTGGCCGTCTACGACCAGGTCACAAAAGCCCTGGACACAGGGATCGCAGTGGACGTAGTCTTTCTGGACTTCAGGAAGGCCTTCGACACTCTCTCTCACCCCATTCTCATTAAAAAACTAGGGGACTGTGGCGTCAACACCTACACAGTCAGATGGGTCGCTAACGGGCTGGAGGGCCGCACCCAGAGTGGTGCTGGACGGGTCTTATTCGACCTGGCGGGATGTGGGCAGTGGGGTCCCCAGGGCTCGGGCCTCGGGCCCGCACTGTTCAACATCTTCATTAGGGACTTGGACAAGGGGGTAAAAAACACCTTGCTCAAATTCACAGACGACACTAAGATGTGGGGGGAGGTGGGCACGCTAGAAGGGAGGGATAGGCTGCAATCGGACCTAGACAGGTCACAGGGGTGGGCGGATGAGAACAGGATGTGATTCAACACTGACAAGTGCAAGGTGCTGCACCGGGGAGGAGGAACCAGCGGCACACCTACATGCTGGGGAACTCCCTTCTCATCAGTGCAGAGGCAGAAAAGGATCTTGGAGTCATTTTAGACTCCAGGATGGACATGAGCCGACAGTGTGGGGACGCGGTCAGGAAGGCCAACACACCTTGTCGTGCATCTACAGGTGCATCATGAGCAGGGCCAAGGAGGTGATCCTCCCCCTCTATGTGACACTGGTCAGGCCACAGCTGGAGTACTGCGTCCAGGTCTGGGCACCGCACTTCAGGAGGGATGTGGACAACACGGAGAGGGTCCAGAGGAGGCCACCCGCACGGTCAGGGGGCAGCAGGGCAGGCCCTACGAGGAGAGGCTACGGGACCTGAACCTGTTCAGCCTCCACAAGAGAAGGCAGAGAGGGGATCTGGTGGCCATCTACAAACTGGCCAAGGGGGACCAGCAGGCAATGGGAGAGTCCCTGTTCCCCCGAGCACTACCGGGAGTAACAAGGAATAACGGCCATAAATTGAGGGAGAGTAGATTCAGACTAGACATCAGGAGGCGCTACTTCACTGTCAGGGCGGCTAGGATCTGGAACCAACTTCCAAGGGAAGTGGTGCTGGCTCCTACCCTGGGGGTCTTTAAAAGGAGGCTGGATAGACACCTTGGCGGGGTTGTTTGACCCCAGGATCCTTTCCTGCCCAGGGCAGGGGGTCGGACTTGATGATCTGCTCAGGTCCCTTCTGACCCTAGAAACTATGAAACCAGGGAACAAGGAAAGAGGAACCAGCTTCACCGGCAGGCTGCAGGGATGGGGCCGGACACCTGGGCTCTCTCGGCGGGGGGGAGACAGGGTGGGAGCAGGGCCCGGACGCCTGGGTTCAGTGCCTGGACCGTGGCCAGCTCTGGGGTGGGGGGCCCAGACCCTCCCGCATGGGCGCACCCTGGGGTGGCAGCACCTGATCCACACCCGCTCCCCCGCAAGGGGGGACAGGCCTGTGGCGGGGAGGGGGCTCGTTACTGCTGCTGCTAATTCCCATGGAGTGTTGGGCCTGGGCCCCAGGCCAGCCCCACACCCATCCCCCCAGGCTGCAGCTGCCTCTGGGGCCCTGCCCAGGGTCTCAGGTGGAGCCCCCCAAGCCTGGTGCTAGGTCCCACCAGCCCTAGTTAGACAGTAACCCAAGCTGCCTGGCACGGGGGTCCTGCCGGCTCTGCTCCAGCCCCGAGCCCTGGTATAGATGGGTCGTACACGGCGCCGGACCTCATCTGCCCCGGCCGAGCCACCAGCCAGAGGTTGCGACTGGCTCTGGGGGCAGCAACCAAGTGGAACAGGCACCCAGCTCCTGCCCCGGCCCCCAGTGCCCCCTGCTGGGGCTCTGAGGACATCGCCTGGGGGCTGGGATGGAAGGCCAGGGGCAAGGCCAAGGGGCATGGCTCCATCCTGTGGTCCACCCCAGAGCTGGGCACATCCCAGTGAGGGGTCCCATATCCCAGCCCCAGAGCTGGCTGTATCTGTTCCACTTGGCCCCAGAGCCAGCTGCATTGCAGCCCCGTGTCTCCCCTGCCCACCCCAGAGGCAGCCGCACCTCTGTTACACTCAGCCGCCAACACCCCCCACCCCAGAGCCAGCCGCACCCCAGCACCCGGCTTTGTACCCCAGCCCCTGCCCCACCCCAGAGCCAGCTGCACCAGTTCTACTTGGCTGCCACCATAGCGCACCACAGCCCCAGCTCAGACCTGGCCCCCTGGCCCCAATGCCCCCTGAACCAGCTGCCTCTGTTCTACTCAGCTGCTGACATGTCCCACCCTAGAGCCAGCTGCATTTCAGCCCCAGGGCCCAAGGTCCCACCCCAGAGGCAGCCAGACCTCTGTTCCATTAGCTGCCGAAACCCGCAACCCCAGAACTGGCTGCATCCCAGCAAGATTCCCCATATCCCAGTCCAGCCCCACTGGGTTATTTCTCTCCGTGCACCAGAGAGAACCCAGGCGTCCGGGCTCCCAGCACCCTCTGCTCCCACCCCCGGCCCCCTTGGCGGGGGGCTTGGGGGCTCTGTGCTTGCTCGGACAGACGGACACACAAGGACAGCCGAACACTGGGGCCCGCGGGCACTTTACTGGGACTCTGAGACTATTCACAGCAGGACCTGTACAGTGGCAGGCGCCCCCCCAGATGCCAAGGGGGGAGGTCACATCAGACTCCCCCGCTCCCCTGAAGGAACCCAGGAGTCCTCGCTCCCAATGCCGGGAGGGACCCAGGTGTCCAGGCTCCCAGCCCTTCCCCACCCAGGATGGGGGCTGCTCCTCCATGCGGGTGCCCCCCAGGGGGTCTCTGTTGTCACCAGGGCTTTGTTGAGGGGGGTCTCCAGTGTGGGGGGAGGAGGAGGAGGAAGATGAGGGTCTGAGCTGGGGGTGAAGAAGACCTAGACGGGAGAGAGAACAGGGTCAGGGCACCCCCCCCAGTGCTGGGGAGGACCCAGGTGTCCGGGCTCCTGGCCTGCTCTCACCCCCAGCCCCCGCTCCCCTCCTGGAGGACCCAGGCATCTGGGCCCCCGAACCTGCGTCTCTGGGTCAGAGGTGCACATCGAAGACGCCGTCCTCCAAAGCCTGGACCTCCACCTCCGGGATCTCTGTGGAGACACAGACCAGCGCTGGCACCTGCCCCCTGCTACAATGCAGCCAGCTCTGGGGTGGGGCGGGGGCTGCTGGTAGGAAGCCATGCACTGGGGTGCGGCCAGCTCTGGGGTGGGGGTTGTTGGTGCCTGAGTATAACAGAGATATGGCTTGCCACTGGGCAGAGACCTTGGGCCCTGGGGATGAAATGTGGCTGGCTCTGGGGTGGGATGTGTCAGCCGCCAAGCAGAACAGAGGCCGTCAGCTCTGGGGGCATCGGCGCTGGGGATCCAGGTCTGTGCTGCGGCTGGGGTGGGCTGTGCCAGCAGCTGAGTAGGACAGATGCAGTCAACTCTGGGGTGGGGCAGGGACTGGGGGTACAAAGCCGAGCACTGGGGCATGGCTGGCTCTGGGGAGGGGGATGTTGGCGGCTGAGTAGAACAGATGCGGCTGACTCTGGGGTGGGGCCTTGGGCCCTGGGGCTGTGATGCAGCTGGCTCTGGGGCAGGGCATGTCAGCAGCAGAGTAGAACAGGGCAGCCTGCTCTGGGGGAGGGGTGCCTGCAGGAAGCCTGCCCGGGGAGGACAAGGACTGGGGGGCCCACCGCCCACCCCCCAGCTGCTGGAAGCAGCAAAACAGGAAAGTGCTTGGAGCTGGGAGCTTATCTGGGGCTTGCAACTGGCTTCCGGTACCAGGGGCGGTGAGGAGGGCTGGGGGCCCCGGTTCTCTCCGGCGCTGGGAGGGGAGGAGGGCTGGGGGCCCGGGCGCTGGGGTCCGTACCTGGGGGGTGCCGGTTGGGCCGGGGCAGGGAGAAGCTGAAGGAGCGCAGGGGCGGGGGGCTCGGCCCGTCCAGGTTGAAGCTCTTGGCCCGTTTGCGGCACTCGACGTGCAGCCGGTCCCGGCACTGCCGGTGGCAGCTCACGCCGCAGGCTGGGGTGACCGGTGGGCGGGTCAGCAGGGCTGGGGGGACCCCACAGGATCCCCCCCACCCCCCAGCTTCCCGCAAAGAGCCCCGGGCGCTGGGCCAGCTGCAGCTGGCTCTGGGGTGGGAGAGCTGAGGGGAGCAGGGGGCTGCGGCCGGCTCCGGGGGTCCCCCCTGGCCCCACACTTACCCCGGCACTTCAGCCCCTGCTTGTAGATCCCCAAAATCTGGGGGAGAGAGAAGGGGGTGAGCGGGGGCAGGAGGGCTGTCTTAACCCCTTCCCTGCCAGCCCCCGGGGCCCTCATCCACCCCCAGGAGGAAAGGAGACCGACCCCCCCGTCTGCCTTCTAAGGGTCTCTGAGTCCCAGAGGCCGGGGTCCCCCCAGCTCGGGGGGGCCGTGGGGGCTGGGCCTCACCAGGCTCTTGCAGTGGCGGCAGGCGACGGGCCGCAGGAAGCTGCTCTCGGCGAAGGTGTGCACGAAGCCCATCCTGCCGTCCACGTCCGCGCTGAACTTGAGGAAGTAGGAGACCATCTCGTCCCGGGTGATCCAGCCGTCCCTGCGGGCAGAGCCGGGCATCTGGGTCCCCTCCAGCACGGGGGCGCAGACAGCCCAGACGCCTGGGGTCTCTCCAGCGCCGGGAGGGGAGTGGGAGCTGGGGGGCGAGGGTGGGGGTGCCCGAGCACCTGGGTTCCCCGGGAGGAGGGGGCGGACGCCTGGGTCCCGCGGGCACTCACTGGTTCTCATCCACGTCCCCGAACTGGCAGAGATGCGGGAAATTGCTGCGGATGATGCTGAACTCGGCCTGCGAGATGCGCCCGTCGCCGTCCACGTCGAAGTTCCTGAACACCGACTGCGGGGCGGGGCGGGGGGGACATGAGCCGGAGCCCCCCGGTACCAGCACCCCTTCCTGGCACGCGGCCTCAGCCCTGTGGCCCAGCTCCCTTCAACCCCCTGCCCCCCAGCCTGGTCCCAGGACCCCTCCT